CCCCTCTTCTCCAGTTAATAATTCATGGCTCTGTGCAGTGGGCCTCGTCCAATAGAAAGTGAAGGCCATGAATTCCAGATGAGAGCATCGGCAGCCCCCTCTTGATTCTCTCTCCATTTTTCTATTTAAATATGTGTCATCTCTTAGAAATACTACTTAGCAGGAGCTGGCTCAGAAGCAAAGCCTTTCTCCCCCATCAAATCAATAATTCATTCTTTCAGCAAACTTAATGAATAACTACTAGGAGTCAGTGAGTGTGCTGTAAGTTGGCAAAGGAAGGCTCTGTCCTTGTCCTCATCCACTGGAGAGGAGGCACTGAGATATTATCAGAGTCATTGCTGGGAGGGAGTTTGAGAAACTGGCAAATGGCACCAGAACTAGCTGGACAAAGGAGAGGATGGTTTCTCGTGGAGATGGTATCAGTGGAATCTAGAAGTAAGAAACAGATGGTTGAGAAAATAAATGGGGACTGTATGCTCACACACACACACACACACACACACACACACACACACACACACACTCCTCTTTGGCCCAGATTGGCAGTAAAGATTAGTTGCAATAAATGTAAAAAGTAGCTCAACTTCCTGAAACAGACTCTTTTTATAACATCCCAAACCCAAATCCACTGCCATCTAGTCGATCCCAGCTGCCACCTAGCATTGCCAGTGCTGTAAATCTTTATGGAAACTGACTACCTTATATTTCTCCTGGGGGCTGACCACCATGTGTTTCTCCTGTGAAGTGACTGAAGGAAGGTAAGACCATGGGCTGTGGAGCTAGTGTATCTGCTGAGGAGCGGTGAGTTGTTCATAAAGGACTCTGAGAAGCAGCATGATACTGTTAAATTTGTGTTTTAAGAGGCTCTTAGTGGCTTTCTTGGGGAAAACATATTTTGAGTGGTCTGGAACCATTGTCAGGCAACCAGCTCAGAGGCGACTATCCTCATCATTGAACAGTAAAAGGCAGACTGCACTACTAATGGAATTAGAGAATCAGGTGAATTCCCAGTGTGTCTGGTTGTTACACAGAGAGGGATAACAGTGAGGGGAGATTCCTGGCAATCTGACCAGCTTGAGGTTTCAACCAGGTTTGAAGGAAGTGAAGAGGATGAGTCTAATTCTGGAAGTTTGTTTGCTGTTTCCAAGGATAAGCCATGAGTGGCCCATGGACCTTAGGATAGAAATTGGGCTGGATGTAGATTTGGTAGTTGTCAGCTCAAAAACGAATCAGATCACCCCATGAGTGTGGAGTAAAGAGAGAGAGAAATGGCGATGAAGACCCTAAGAATGTGCAAGAGGTAGGAAAGTGGAAGGAAGAGTCTGTCATAAACGGAAAAGGTTCCTGAGAGTTAGGAGGAAAAGCAGTAGAGTTGCAAGCTGTGAGAGAGATCCACCAAAGAGATTTATAGTGTCAGATTCTGCAGAGCCTAGGAAGCAAAAGAAGCTTATTTGGGTTTTGCAACACAGGAGTCATTGTTGACTTGCGCTGAACTGGTTTTGGTGCAGTGTTGGGGCTTGGAGTGTGGACCAAGTCTTCTGAAACCATGGTTGTGACGGGAGGTGGATTTGTGGTTGTAATAGTGTGTAATGTATTATGCTTTCTACTCATAGCAATTGAGTTAGGAATTCATCAATTTATTTCCTTTGGCTTTCAAGTTTCAGAAAAGAGAAAGTAGATGGCTTCCACTTCTAACACTGATTATGTTAACATTTCACTGAATTTGAGCCCAGAAGAATTTACCTGACCCTGATTTGCTTATTTCCTCTAAAATACTGGGCACAGGGAAAGAAAAAGATGAAGGGAAATCAGGGGAGAGAAGAGAGAAAAATCAGAATACTTCTGAAATTATTTCTATCTGCAAAATTCCGAGTCAGTCCAGTGTTCTTTCTTTATATTTGACCTGCTCATGAAAGTGGAGAAATTGAACATGTACTTGTATGACATCTATTCTTTGCCTAGCTGACTGGGTGCCCTAAAACAGCTGCCTCTCCCATCCTGTCCTGCTACTCCAAATCTTCTGAAGTGTCCTAAAACTCGACTTAGTACCACATCTTCATCTTCTGCACACGACTTCATGTCCTGCTCCACGGAGGACATTGACGTAATCAGGCAGGAACTCAGCCTTCCTGCCAACACACATCCCTTCCAACAGTCTTCTTCTCTCTTTCATCAGTTAGTCCTTGCTTCTCTGCAAGCTGACCCTTCTTGCTTTGCCTTCTCATCATCCAATGTTCCCTTAACTGTAGTGCTTCTAAATCACTCATCCTTGGAGCTACTTTTATTATTCCTAGACACCTCTTTAGGTGACCTTATCTCATGTATCTTTAATATTTACCACCAATTCTTTATCTGGAGTATAAACTTATCTTTTGTCTTTCCAATCTTATGGACATTTTCACTTGGGTTTTCATTGATATATCCTTTGGCTATACAACAATAAACCCTACTATTATTGTTGTTGGGTACCATTGAGTTGCCACGGACTTTTAGCTGACCCTCCAGCAGGTTTTCAGAGACAGTTAACTGCATGAGAGGAGATGCCCATCCTTCATCTATGGAGAAGCTGGAGGTTTAAACTGCAGGCATTTGGGATTGCGATGGAGGTTCTTAGCACTAGGCCACCAGAGCTCCCTATAGACCTTGCTTCTCCTATCTAAATATTCCTTCTATATGTTCCCTTACTCAGCTTATTCCTCTGCCATTGCCTTAGTTTTAGTGCATCATTTCTTGCCTGGTCTTTTAACTTGCCTTCCAGTCTTCAGTTTTTTCAACTTCCTTTACATCACCACAGATTGGGTTTTAAGTTTCCTATCTGCTTTGAATCTGTCAGTGACTAACCTTTGCCTTTGGAATATAGTTTGACACTCTTGGCATCAGATCCTCCTGATTTGGTCCTTGCCAGCCCTCCCTGTTAGTCTTCCTTCTCACAAACCTCCTCATGCACATCTTGTACCAGACCCAGCCTTCCTTAAGTTCCCAACCAGCCACTGCTCCTTTTGCACATAACCTTGTCCTGCTGCTCTGCTTTGTGAAGTTCTCACCTTTCAAAGTCAGTTATTCTTAGGATAAAACCTGTACAGTTTGCCTACAAAGAACATATTGTTTTTATTTTTTCCACATCAACCTGTCAGAGCAGGCACATTCCTCTCCTCTTCAGAGACTTCCTGTGCTTTTATTACTTGGCCATGTTCCACTTAGGATAACTTTATCTTAATCCTCAGACCACTGATTTCCCAGATAATAAAGGGTCCTGTAGTACTCTACTGTGGATTTTGATGTGTTGCAATTAGAATCAAAGTGCGGAATTGTTCTACTGGAACATGAAATTGCCACTTAAGTTACTGCAGGTAGAAAGAGAGGAGCATGTAGAAAAGCATGTGAGGCATATTTAGATAGATTTTTCTGAAATTATTGTGATATTTATATCAGAATAACCATTGAATGTTCTGACTGTACATGTCAGTTGCCGCTGCTGTATATTTTTTTCTTATTTCAGCAAGCCCTATTTATTGGCCCCTTGATATTTTATACCGAGAAACTTACAAAGGAGAAAGATTTTCAGACACAATTTGTAGGCGTTTTTAAAAAGGGAACAGGAAAGAGTTATGTTTGCAATGCAGAGAGTGTATTAAATTTGGTTACTTTTTGGTGAAAATCAGAAATTTGTCAATAATTTTTGAGATATTTTCCATTTCTAATTTTCTATTTTTAAAAATGATATCCCTAAAAAGAATATAGCTAAAAAAGAATAAAAAATGTTAAACCCTTATTTTCTTTTTTTTTTTTTTGCTTTTGTTTCCTTGTGATGAAAATACATTTCACTGTAGCCTGCAATTTCATTCTCATCCCTTAGACTCTGTTAACCTATATTTTCATAGCCAGCACCAGGATTCTAATGACCACCAATACATCATTTATTGCTCATTATGTGGAAAAACCAAAGTATCTGTGCCTGGGCCCCCACTGCTGCTTTCTTCTCAAATCCCTTTTCATTTGTTTCTGCCAGCACTATTAGCCTTAAAACATTCCTGTAATTGTACCGGCTCAGAGAACAAAATGAGCAAAAGGCTAGATATTGTGGTCCAAGAACACACTTCCAGCAAATAGCTGTGTGGTTGTCTAAATAACAACACCTGGATGGATAAGTTCACCAGAGACGGGGGAAAGTGATTCTGGTGGGTTTGCTGGGGATTTGTTCCCTTTAGAGTCCTTGAAGACAAATTGATATACAGAGATGACTTTATGGAATGTGAATTTTTTACATAATTGATGTAATTTATAATAAATATGGATGGATGTACCCATTCAATAATACTGTCAACAAAACAGCGTTTTCTTTTCTTAAAAGGACATCTTTTATATTATGAAATGTAAAGTGCATTACAAAGTCTACATGATAAAAATGTGCAGCCCAGTTTGAGAGCACAGAGCATGTACCTGTGTAACTGTCACTTTGATCAAGAGAGAAGGATGCCCACATCCCAGTTATTGCTTCCTCGTTCCCTGTCCCCCCATAGGTCTTCATTATTATTATTTATTTGTGCGTATACCATCAAGTCAGATCTGACTAGTATAGGAGGAGACTGTCCCTCCGTCTCCAGCAGAGCTTCTGGTGGATTCAAACTGGACACCTTTAGGTCTTCATTATTTTGATGAAAGACTTTTACAATTGAATTGACTTCAGTGGAGTTGACATCAGAGAAAGCAGAAGCCCAGCATTAGTGGTGGGGAATTGGGAGGGAGTCTGAAGGAGGTTACCCAGAGAGGGTTGGTGGCATTGCGACAGAAGGAACTGGTATCTGTATATTTTACAATTTATCCCACAGGCTCCATGTGTAGCTGCTTGTCATATCTGCCATGCATATATGTGCTTTGTAAAAGCTGAAATGAGTCTGTTCCTCTAGAGTGTATTAAATTCTCAAAGACTCATTCACAAGTGGCTTTTTACGTGCTTTGAATCTGATACACACTAGTAACTTGTTTCCACACAATTCCAGGACGTTAGCTTATTGCCAGTGGGTGGACAATCTCAATGAGACCCGGAAGATGCTCTCTCTTAGCGGCGGCGGGCCCTTCAGTAACCTGCTGAGGTGGGTTGTGTGCCACATAACGAAAGGAATTGTGAAGCGTGAGATGCACGGCCACGGCATTGGCCGCTTCTCCGAGGAAGAGATTTACATGCTGATGGAAAAGGACATGCGGTCACTGGCAGGGCTTTTGGGTAATGTACCACACCTTCTGTTCTTTGCACCAGCTCCTGATTTTCTGCATGATCTGGAAAGCACTGTTGGCTATTACCATTTAAAATTTTATTTTGGTTGATGGCTTTCATGTGTAGGTGGTGGTCCCAGCATTTGACTAAACCCTCTAATTTTCAGGAGCATGTGTCCTTCTTCTTAATTATTTGCATGTTATTGTTTATAGTGTGGGAGATCCCCATGTGTGGAGGATGTAAAGCATGGTGCCACATCACTACCCAGCTGTAAGTGCTGCTGGCATTTCTGAATGTATTATGAGAAAATGACAGTTTTGGGCAAGTAAACTCTTCTGCTTATCAACAAAGTTAAAAGGCTGCCTATGAGCATATCAGCTCAGAAGATAGGCCTGTGTACCTGAGAGAGATATTGGTGGTTCTGATTACTTCTGTATATGGGCAGCAGGTGCCATGGACTCATGCCTTTCACTTCCAATTGTAATCTTAGGCTTCTTCCTAGCAGGTTAGAACACTGTCTGCTTTACTATTTACTGTGCACATTGACTTTATATGTATTTGGGTAACCCCTCCAAGGGAATCCCAGAGCAGTAGCCCTGTGCTGGTGAGAAAGGTTGAGAGTAGAATGACATGCTCTTATTCATCCAGCTGGTTGGAGATGGTGGCCTGAACTGACATCATTCTACGCTGAGACTTAGCTATGAAAATTCAAGAACAGATAATTTTGAGTTGAGGAGTCACTGTGTGAAATGATGATTTCTTTTAGACCACTCAGGTACATGATGTCACACCTTCTGTTGCCAGCAAATTAAGATGTAAGCCTACAACATTGCCTATGCTACCTGGAGAATGTGGGTTCTCCCTGGTCCTCCCTTGGTGGCAGTTACATGAAGACTTATCCTGACCCTTGATCTGAAGCATATTAGGTGCCTCATCACCTCTGGGAAGTGGGGCTGGGAATTTGTTTTGTTGAAACCCACCTAATACCTATCTTAGGGACTGGGGACCACACTGCATGTAACCTGCCTCCTGCAAGGTATACAAAGCATTAAATATCATTTTGGCCTACAGCCCTGGTTGCAGAGAGTGATAGATATATAACAATTTGGTATGTATGTATGGAGGTTTGTATTGATGCCTTTGAGTTATGGTGCTGGAGAAAAGTATTGGACATACTATGAACTGCCAAGAGAACTAACAGGTCTGTCCTGGAGAGGGTGAAGTGAAGTGCTCGATGGAGGCAAGGATTTTGAAGCTCCATGTCACATACTTTGGGTATGTTGCCAGGAGGGGCCAGTCATTGGAGAAGGACATCATGCTTGGAAGGATGGAGGGACAGTGCAGAAGAAGAGGACCCAGGATGGACACAGTAACTGGGGTAATGAGGGTAGGTGTGTCAGAGACAATGAGATTGGCTCAGGATAGAGCAGGGTTCAGAGCTACTGTGTGTTGGATCGCTACGAGTCGTAGTTGACTTGGCAGCACACACCACCACCACCAGCAGCACTGACAGCAACAACATGTATGGAAGTGGTGATGGGGAGGGCACTTCTCAACTCATAGCTGTCTAGTTGGAACCCACACATAGTTGACTCTCCACTGGGTTTCTGAGGTTGTCAATCACACAGGATGATATTGACACTGGTGTATTTGAACAATCAGAAGAGATGCACCTTTGGGTTAGCAGTGCAAGTCCCTACAGATTACCTCACCAGAGCTCCCTCAAAGGAGAGGACAGGAGTCCAAAAGAGCCAAGTTCTTGATATGAAATATTATAAAGTAGCTGTTCATAGAGTTGGGGAGCATTGGAGGAGAGAAGGGAAGATTTATTCATTTCAGTTGTGAATTGATTATATCTCTGTGAAACAAATATATGTGTGGAAATTTAGTATATACTCGAGACAACCTTTAAAATCAGTGGAGTAAAGACTAATGAATTCAATAAATCATATTGGGATGGCTATCTAATAATTTGGGGGGAAATGTGTATAATCTTGACTTTATATAATACATCTGAATAAATTCCAGATGTATTAAGCATTGAGATATAAAAAATAAAGTATGAGTATAATAGGAAACTTTTGCACAATCTTGATCTTGAGGGAAAGTTTATGTAAACATGGTACCAAAGGGAGAAATTGGGTAAGAAAAACTGCATAGTTGTCGTTATGTGCCGTCAAGTCACCTGCGACTCATAGCGACCCTATGTACAGCAGCCCTAAACCCTGCCCTATCCTGTGCTATTTTCAGTCTCTGACACATCTAACCCCATTACTCCAGTCACTGAATCAATCCATCTCATCGAGGTTCTTTCTCTCCTGCACTGTCCCTCCACTCTCCCAAGCATAATACCCCTCTTCAAGAACTAGTCCCTCCTTGCAACATGCCCAAAGTATGTCAGGCGAAGCTTCAGAGTTCTTGCCTCTAAGGAGCAGACTGGCTTCATCCTCTCCAGTACAAACCTGTTAATTTTCTTAGCAGTCCATGGTATATTCAATACTCTTCTCCAGCACCACAGCTCAAAGGCATCAATTCTCTTTCTATCCTCCCTATTCATTGTACAACTCTCTGATGCATAGCAAGTTATTGCAAAGATTATGGCCTGTATCAGGCGCACCTTAGTCTCCAGACTGACATCGTTACTCTTCAGTATTTTAGAGAGGTCTCTAACTGCAGACTTTCACATTGCAGTACGTCTTTTAATTTCCTGGCTGCTGGTGCCAAGAGTGTTGACTGTGGAGCCAAGCAAACTTAAGCTGTGAACAATCTCAATCTCTTCACCATTCATTATGATGCTGCCAGTTGGCCCAGTGGTGAGAATCTTTGTTTTCTTGATATTGAGTCTCAATTCATACTAAAGACTGCAGTCCCTGACCTTCCACAGTAATTGCTTCAGGTCCTCCTCAGTTTCAGCAAGCAGGGTTGTGTCACCTGCATAATGCAGATTGTTGATGAGTCTTCCTCCAATCCTGATGCCACATTTCTCCTCATACAGTCCATCCTCTCATATAATCTGTTCTGCATAAAGATTGAAAAGGTATGGAGATAGAATACATCCCTCATATACACCCTTTCCAATTTTGAACCATGAAGTGTTTCTTGCTCTGTTCTGACGACTGCCTCCTGGTCCAAGTGTAGGTTTCTCATTAGCACAATCAAGTATTCTGGGATTCCCATTCTTCTCAGAGTCAGCCACAGTTTGTTATGATCCACGCAGTCAAATACCTTTGCATAATCAATGAATCAAAGATAGACATTATTCTGGCACTTCCTGCTTTCAGCCAAGATCCATCTAACATCAGCAACGATATCCCTAGTACCACGACCCCTTCTAAGCCCAGCCTGGACTTCTGGCAGTTCTCAGCTGATGTGCTGTTCCAGTCATTTTTGGATAATCTTCTGCAGAATGTTGTTTGCATGAGATATTAATGATATTGTTTGATACTTTCCACACTCTATGGGATCACATTTCTTTGGAATGGGAACAAATATAGATCTCTTCCAGCCAGTTGGCGAAGTGGTTGTTCTCCAGATTTCTTGGAACAACTTGGTCAGCACATCAAGGGTAGCATCTGTTATTTGAAACATGTCAGTTGGTATACCGTCAATTCTTGGGGCCATATTCTTAGCCAATTCTTTCAAAGCAGTTTGAACTTCTTCCTTCATCACCACGAGCTCTTGCTCATATGTTGTTTTTTTAAATTCTTCTGTGTCTGCCAATTCCTTTTCATATAATGACTCTTTATCCTCTTTCCATTTTCTTTTAATACTTGCAGGATCATTTAATGTTCTGCCTAACGCATCCTTAAATATTGGAACTCAAGGCTTGAATTTCTTCTTCAGTTCCTTGAGCTTAAGAAATGCTGAGCGAGTTTGATCCCTTTGATTTTCTGACTCCAGCTCTTTGCACATTTCATTATAATACTTTACTTGTCTTACTACACTGCCTTTTGAAATCGTCTGTCTAGCTCCTTATTGTCTTGATTTCTTCCCTCTGCTTTACCTTCTTGTCACTCTAGTGCAATATTCAGAGTCTCACCTGACATCCATTTTGGTCTTTTCTTCCTCTTCTGTCTTTGCAATGACCTTTTGCACTCTTCCTGGATGATATTCTTGATATCCAGCCTTGCTCAAGGACTGCCCATCGTTTGATTACATGAAAAAAAAAACAACAAAAACAAACAAACAACAAACTCCCTCTTATATGTAAGAGATCCACCAGAAATAAAATTAAAGTGGTCAGCTGTAACATGCTACAAATGCATATAGAACTGGTCTTTCCATCTGCTGTGTAGAGGTAACTTGTGATTGCTGTGATGCTAAACGCTGTGACACTGATGTGTCAAATGTGATAATGGTCACCCATGGAGGGAAATGTTTGTTGGAGCTTTCTGATTAAAACAAGCATGGAAGCAGGAATGGCATCCATTTCTGAAATAGCTTGTCTCCGGAAACTCTATGAACTTGGAGAAACAATGAAAATTATACAAGTGTTCAGGTCTTTCATTCATAGAGTTTCTATGAGTTGTCTATGACTTGATGGCACTTAACAACAACAACAACAACAACAACATACCAATGATGGAGCTTTGGGGGTTTGTGGAAAGGAATCGTGCTGACAACACAAAGCCAATTGGCTCAAACCTACCAGCTGCTCTGTGGGAGAAAAAGGGACAGTCTCCTGTGGATTCACAGCCTCATGAAATCCCCTGGAGGGTCAATTCTGACTCCACAGTACATAACAACAGCAACAGTTTATCAATGAAAAAAGTGAATTCCAGAAAGGAAAAATTGGGCAATAGATATTACAAGGCAATTCACAAAAGCTATGAATGAGGACTCAATACTGGAAAAAATATATAGCCTCTTCAGTAGTTGGAGAAAGGCAAGTTAAAAAGTGAGACATTAATTACTCAATCAAATTGTCAAAAGTTTGATTTAAAAAGTTAAAAATATCAGCAGGAGTGTGGGAGAGGCACAAGATTTCTGTTGGTAAGAGTATACGTTCT